GCGAGTACAAGGTTAATGTAAAATCACCTACCAAGAAAATTGCCAATTTTGCTGCCAATTTGGATCTCGATGTAACTACGCTATCGCCAGCCGATGCCTTATTTAATGAGCCCGATGTTGTACTGCGTCAGTCAGCGCCAGAAACTGATACGACTGTTACCCCATCGCCAGTCAACGTGACCCTATCGCCAGCCGATGACTTATTTAAAGAGCCCGATGTTGTACTGCGCCAGTCAGCGCCAGAAACTGATACGACTGTTACCCCATCGCCAGTCAACGTTACCCTATCGCCAGCCGATGACTTATTTAAAGAGTAATATAATTATTATTAATGTATATTTTATAACGTTTTTCTCGTCTTAAAATTACTTTTAATTGTGTTATTATATGACAAATAGTTTTAATTAATAAATAAACAGATTGATTTGTTATAACAATTTAAAGAATACATTAATTTTGTTACCAATCAATTCATTTTATTGTAAGAGAAAGTTTTTCACAATGTGTTAGTTTAAGTAAGACATGTTAAATTAGCCAAAACAATTATAATAGTGAGATTTAAATTCACAAATTACTAGATACGTTTAAAAATCTATAAATTTATTTTTACAATTAAATTATATTAATAATCTAACTTAAATTAGTACTCCATTTCAGCTGGATATAGACCACCAGTGTGGAACGTTATGTAAAAATTAAATAAAATAAAACTTGTAAGTCTTACAAAACAATACAACCAATAAAAACATACAAAACAATACTTAAACACTGGACTAATAAAGAATATTCTGTATTTACAGATAAATTATTTCTAAATTGGTGTTTATTTGGATAAACATATTTGTCGAGTGACGTGTGTTTCAGATTATTGCCATAATTATCCTTTGATTCGCAATAACAGGTATAAGTGCCGCCATATTTGTCGGACACATCTCTAAGCCTAACCGAACCCTTGGTTTCTATGGTTTTAAGCGGCACTATATTTCTCTGTCCGATCCCATCCACCGATGATATGTTCATCTGATCTGCAAAACAACACAACAAACTAATTTATAATTCAATTTATTACTTATTATTTAATATGTTATATAATATACAGTTATAATTCAAACGATAAAACTCATGCTTATCCTTAGACAGTGTCAGTATATTGAGGTACTCTTCATTAGGTGTTAACACAAAACTACAATTAATTATAAATTCATTGGTAATGTCGGCATATTCTGGGACTGAGAAATCATCGATTGTTATACATTTTGTTTTATATAATAAAACTAATATTAAAACAAATGTCCAGAATTTCATGTTTTGAACACAATATTTCATTTTGTAATGAATTATATAATGTATGGCATTATTGAATAGAATATATTCTGGAAAAGTGTTGTAAATATCAAACATACAATAGTTATCGTTTGTCTCAACGCTACTAATCTATGTATTCATGTGTTTATTTAGTGTAATCGCTATTTTTAGAATTAATTTATTTTTATAATAAACTAGTTAATCCAGGGTGAATCACTGATTTACATTAGAGCTATTACTATTTAATTTGTGTAGGTAATATTTTCATATTTATTTATTACTAATTCAAAAAAATTATAAATGTTAATTGAATAAAAAGTTGATTAACTTATTTAAAAATTATCTTTATTTAATGTTTTAAATTATAAAATATATTATTTTAATTATCATATTATAATATTTATTAAACTTTAATTTAATTAAAATCTTAGACAAATTCATTAACATTTATGCCTTCATTTTGAATACGATTTAAAGTGTTTAACAAATCGTAAGTAATTTTCTCGTTGACCACAGAATCGTATTTATAGTCCGCATGTTTTCGGACAAAATCTCTGATCCAATGAGCGGTTGTCTGGAGTTTTGCCGACGCTCTGTCGGCAATCAATTGGATATACTGTTGGACTTTATTATAGGTTTGGGCGTCAAGTAATAAGTCTTTTACATAATCCCTGATTAGTGGTATTAAACCCGGGAATTCATTTCCGTATCCATTCATTATCTCATTGATAGACATCTCTATATATGACTCTTCTTCGCTCTCATATCTCTCGTAATTAGTTTTAAAACTGTTTGTATTGTTATTTACATCTTGTGATGTGTTTTGAGTGAATATGTCTTTTCTGAACCAGAATTTACTTCTATTGACGGCATCTCTCTTTACAGCGGTTGACATGTTTTGGTCGATCTATTAATTAATAAATTGTAAAAATTAATAAATAAAAATAACAACAAGATAAAAGTAACAACTATAGTAGTTATAACATAAATTAAAATAATATCTTACTTTAGAGATAGGAATAATGAAATTGAGTTTATATTTCAATACAATTCTGGACAATAGTATAGTGAAGACAGAAAAGGCGGCGTTTTCGAAGTCAGTCATCTGGATCTCCATCGGACGGAACTCTACTCTCCAACCGATGGACTGTTGGTTAAGAGGCGGCGGTTTAAACCTCATTGTCTGCCAATT